TCCTCCACACGCCTTTGTTTACCTAGCATTAAGTAGGAACCTGGTTTTTGGTCGGTCACCGAATCGCTTTTCTGGGGATAATAATCCCTTAAAAAAAGTAATTATAATGATAATAATTTGGTCACTTAATCCACGACTCTTTTAAGTCTCACGTGCTGTGCGCAATTGGCTGCTGTGTTTCGCCCACAACCTATACAGTCAATTCACTTTACAGTATATTCTGTGAAGAAATATTCTATTTAAGAGGAAAGTTGATGCATATGTGAGTGAGTAGAAGGGTATAGGAGAGAGAAGTAGAAGAGGTGGAGACTTGTGTGGAGTTGTAAACACTGAGCACAGACTAGTTTGATCAAATGGCCAGTTTCTGTGTTATTTTGCCCTCAAAGTATACACTCAATTGACTTACAGTTTATTCTGTGAAGCGCTTTAAGACGTCTTGAAGACATGTTAACAAGCTATAACAAATCCAACGATTATTATCATCACTATTTTTGGGTGGAAACAGCACAGAAACAGCTTTTGTGAAAGTTACAAATGACATTTTGTCCATCTGGGACCAGGGGCTCCATCTGCCTCCTTGTCCTCCTTGACATCTCTGCTGCCTTCGATACCGTTGACCACTCTATCCTCCTCCACCCCTGGTCCTCTCACTTCAACCTTCATGGTTTTGTTCTTGAATGGTTCAGATCGCACCTGTCACACCGTCTCCACTTCATCTCCACAAACCGTTTCTCCTCTAGCCCCCGCACAGTCTCGTGCAGAGTTCCTCACGGCTCTGAGCTTGGTCCCTTCCTCTTCAATATCTATATGCTCCCTCTTGGTGACATCATCTGCAGAAATGGGGTCAACCCCCATATGTATGCGGATGATGCACAACTGTATCTCTCTGCCTCCACCCTTGACTCCAGGACCCACTGCTGTCCTGACAGAATGTCTGTCAGACATCAAGTCCTGGATGAGAGCAAACTTTCTACAGTTGAACGTCAACAAGACCGAGGCCCTCCTGATTGGCTCCTGTCAGCGCCTCCACACCTCAGACACGTACAGCATCACCATCCATGGTTGCACACTCCACCTTACCAAGCCAGTCCGGAACCTTGGGATCTTGTTTGACCCTCAACTATCCTTTCTACCCCACATCTGTGCCATATCCCGCTCTGCCTTCCCCCACCTCCGCAACATTGCTTGGCTTCGCCACTGTCTCACACCGCAGGCCGCCGAAACCCTCACATACGCATTCATAACATCCAGGCTTGACTATGAAAATCCCTTGCTTGTCGGCCTCCCCAACTCCTCCCTCCATAGGCTGCAGATCACCCAGAACTCGGCAACCTATGTCTTCTCCCACACCAGGCTCCGTGACCCGATCATGCCCATCCTCGCCCAACTGCACTGGCTTCCCATCACACAGAGGATACAGTTCAAGATCCTGGTTCTCACCTTCAAAGCCCTCCATGGTCTTGCTCCCCCACTACCTTTGCAACCTCCTAACCCCATACCAACCTGTCTGCTCCCTCCCCTCAGTGGGCTCGGGCCTACTTCACATTTCTCACTGCCCCACCATTGGCGGGGAGGCCTTCAACCACTCTGCCCCCACCCTCTGGAACTCCATCCCGCAGTCCCTCCGACCCTTCCTTGCCTCCTTCAAGACCCGTCTCAAAACCCTCCTCTTCAACCTTGCCTTCGGTCACTCTCCACCCTCTCAGAGATTGGCCAGCGCCTTGGGACGTCCTCCTGACATGAAAGATGCAATACAAATGTAATTTTGTTGTTGTTGGAACAAGTTGTGGATTTCCACAAGTGGACGGGAAGTGTCAAAGACAAGAATTTTCCTATCCAAGCAATACTTGATGGGATGATATAAGTTGTGACATTTCTGTGGCCCGAAATTCCAGCTAGCCTTGTCCATTTTGTCCTAGCATTATAGATCGCACCGAATTGTGGAAAATTCAGTCCAAATTTGGAATCCGGGTTTCCGCAGTTCTTAAAAAAGAAGCGGCTTTCACATTTAGGGTCCAGTTAACAATTCTCTGCAGTGCTCCGGGCTTTTAGATTCTAAAGACAAAATGGACGTATTGGATAAGGCTGGATGGAATTTTAGGCCATCGGTGGACACATCGAATCTGTCATAAACTGCTGCAACATTTACTTAAAGGCGCATGTTAAATGGCAAAAACTGGTCCATAATATCACACTTTAATTAGCACACTGTAATGACAAAAAACAGTTTTAAAAATACGGTGAGGGCAAATATCTAGCACACAAGTGCCAGACAATAACGTATGTTGTTGTGAGTGTGTGGGCGTCAGGTGCCAGTGCAACAAAAAGTATCTGAGCTGCTATTATATTCAGAGGCACGTTTGTCATATAAGTAGATACTTGTTGATCCATGGGACACTTTTGGGCAATTTCTTTTAGAAAACCTTTTTCCCCACACAAATATTCTGCAACCCAATTTTTTTTAAAAAAAACCCCACAAAAATATAAAAACAGAGGATCTGAAATGGTATTGGAATGCAGTGTACCGGCATTTATCCCAGAAATAATACTCCTTGCATTTGATATTGCACCTTTCATTTCGGTAGGACATCACAAATGCTTCACAGGATTTAAAGTGTAGTGACTGCATTTTGTTGGCAAATGCAGCAGCCAATTTTGCGCACAGCAATGTCCCACAAACAGCCATGAAATGAATTACCAATTTAATTTGGGAGATTGTTGGCCAGGACACTGGGAGACACTCTTTTTTCGTATATGGCCATGAGATCTTTAATGTCCACCAGGCAGACGGGACCTTGGTTTAATGTCTCATCCACAGGACATCACCTCTGATGATGCAGCACTGCCCTGGAGTGTCCTGGGTGTGTATGAGCTCAAAGTTCCCATGGAGGGACTTGAACCCACGAACTTCTGCCTCTACCACCTGAGTCAGACTGACACCTCTAGGTGTATGAAAGAGGAGAAATTGGAAGGTGCGGATAACTGAAGCGTTCTTTAATTCCCATCACTTGTGGAATTCTGGGCTGAATGTCTAGGCTCACTCAAATAGTCTGTTAAAGTTCACAAGCATTCAGAAAGAGGTTGCAAATGCTTCAGTCGTTGTGCTTATTGTGACTACTGGTTTGCAAATGGCACATTTTCAAGTCAAATGTCACATTAAAAACTCAATTTATTTCATTCTGTGTTTGTGGGTGATGTGAGTGTGTGGGAAGAAATAGTGTAAGTAATTTAACCCTCCTTAAGGATGCAACACCTCACCTCTAATCGTGGATTGGGGCAGATTCCCTATTCCCGTAGAAAGATTTAATGTTGGACATGAGGTTACATGCCTGCAACACCGCCCCTCATCTTTGTTCGAGTGCATTGCTGTGTACAAATTGGCTGCTACGACACTTTACGGTAAATCCTGTGAAGTGCTTTGAGACGTTTCAATGATGCGATAAGCAAGGATTATTATTACTATGGATATCATAAATAATTGAACACTGGGGGGGTTTACAGTATTCACCAACCAATGGTGACAAGCACATCTTCCATTTGACCGTCTAAGAAAGATACTGTTTGTATTTGTCGAACCTCATAAGAGCGCTGTGTGTTCTTTTAAACTCACCATAGTTGCACTGATGGTGTGATGGGCTATTAATGGCGGGATGGCACATGGACACTCCCTGTAAATTCAAAGGAATGTAGAAGGACAGTAGGCAGTTACAGTGTTGTATAAAATATTTGCAGTTTATGAATGGCACCGTTGAAGGCAGGATAGTAAGTAATTCCATTGTTCTTTCAATGAATAATATACCATTAAGCAAGTGTTTAACAGTCCATGCTCCATGCAAATGGCAGAAATACATAATGCACACAAGTGAATGAGATTGAGCCACATGAAGCAGATTGGAACAAATCTCAACCCAAACAAGACAATGCTCACAGATCACAAACATTACCAAATGTTCCATCGCTCGTGAGGAAGAGCTTTATAGGTCTCCTGAAAGAACAATGGCAGCAGTGCGATGGTCCATCTGTCGCTTTGTACATTTATTTGATGTAGACCGCAACATTTTCTACACTCCACGTGGTAAGAGAATATATTACCCGACAGATGTGATGCCATTTAGCTGCAGTATTCGACTCATCGTTCATATTGTCGTGACAAATGATGCAGCTCCAAACCCAAGTTTCTTCTGTGTTTAGTGCTGAAGTCGAGCCGAATGACACAGTGTTTTATGAAATGTTATTCTACAGTCAGAGACTCAGAGAATTATAAAACTCCCAAGCTCTCCAGTATTGTGCAATAAAGCTCTTCATATTTTTACTTGCAGGGATTAATATTCTTCCCCCTTTAGTCTTTCTGTTGGGATACAGTTCCAAGGCCATTGGTGGCCCTCTGGCTCCTGATCCAAGTAACCAGGTGTATAGACTCATACACAAAACACAATTAATTCTAAACTCTCCTCCCCCTATACTCACTTGCACAAAACTCTGTACCCTATCACACAAGTCCTTGCCGGGCTCCACTGACTCCCAATTACCGAACGGATCGATTTCAACATCCTCTCACTCATTTTCAAATCCCTTCATGCCCTCGCACCTCCCTATCTATCCGACCTGTTTGCCCCTAACTCCACCAGCAGCTGCCTCTGCTCGGTTGGCTCCAGCCTCCTGTTTGTCCCTTGTCCCCTCCGCTCCACCATCAGTAGCTGTGCCTTCAGTCACTACACCCTGAAACACTGGAACTCTCTCCCTCAATCCCTCCATCCCCACTTTCAAATCCCACCTAAAGACCTTCCTTTTTGATCGTGTTTACGATCACGTCCCACCTCCCTCTCCCCCTGGCTCACAACCAACACAGCCGAAACCCTCGACAATGCCTTCGGCACTTCCCGGCTGGACTAGTCCAATGCCTCCCTCGCTGGTCTCCCCAGCTCCACCATACACAGGCTAGCAGTGGTTGCCAGATACTGATTAGGAATAGGAATCTTGTCTGATTATCCCATCCCCATCTAGGGCATCGAAAGCAATAGCATCCCGGCTAGCACCTCCATGGCAAGATTAACTAGTTCAGCAAAGACTGAGAATTTGACCTGAAAATCTTCTTTGTCTGCACGGCTCAGCTGTTCTCTGAAGTCAACTCGCTGAGCTGTCAGGTGAGCCCTGTCGTCTATTTTTAAATCGCGTCAGCATAACAAATGAGTACACTGTGCCAGATACTGATGTGCACTGTACCACCGTCGACAGGGAACAGATTGGCACCAATAATAATCATCAGGCTGCTCATAGGTATTCGTTCAAGAATTCCCATCAGAATAAGCATCAATGGAAAGTGTTTGAATACTGACAGGTGTTAGGCATAAGTGGCAAAGCAGGAGGAATATAACATTTATAGCAGCAGGCTACAAACTGTAACAGGCAAAAGAACAAGGACAAACACAGTGATGTTAACAACGGCTTATCAACTGGAGTTACAGGATCAGTAAACAGGTTTGGCACTCAAGTCATCACCAGCAGAGAAATTTTGATCGATACTGTTTCTGTGAGTAAGAACAATATAAGATAATTCATACAGAAAAGGGATACCCAAAACAAGATTCGCCCACACAATATACAGTCATTTCACTTTACAATATATTCTGTGAAGCGCTTTGAGACATCTCACTGATGTGATAAGGCGCTATATGTAAGGCAAGGATTATTATTATTAAGAACATATATATAATGGAAAAGGGAAAATATAACAGCTCAATTGGTCATTTTAAATTAATATATGAGCCTATCAGTTATGTGCAAATTCAAAACTGCAGCCAAAGAACGTGGGAAAAGAGCCCAAAAATACAAACACTTTTTAGAAAGGGCTCAGTTGAATGTTTTATTGGTGGTGTTACATTTTGGAAGAGAGCACATTATACAGACTGCCAGGAAAGCAAACTACTTTGTCCACAATTCATTTTCAGCATGAAAATAGCTTTGAGTATTTTTTTAAATCCTGAAAAAATGACAGTATGTTTAAAATTTTATGAAAAAACACAGCTTTGTCGACCAAAACAGCAAAAAAAGAAAACTGCATTCAATGAATACATTGTATGTTGGCAAAATTCTACCCATTGTGTTCCGTAGAAGCCAATAATAATCTTTAACGAAAATGCCTAATGTCTGAAATCAGCACAAGATGTGGAGATGAGGACAGGTCTTAGTGATAGCAGCAATAGACAGGAATACTCTATAGCTTGTCTTGACGAGGATCATTTCATATTGCTACAGAATACAACACGTAAGGACACCACGCTAAAGGTTTCATTGTCCGTATGGTTAAAATCCTGTACTTCTTACTACAGTACCAACGAACTGCCATGCATTCATGGGTCAGACTTAGGCTTTCATGTATCTTACCGCCATCTCTGAACAATGACTCGTTCAGAGCAACGAGGAGGCTAAGCAGCACGACTGCTACAATTATAATGACAAGTGATTTCAGTTCAGAGTATGTGCTGTAGGCATTGAAAGCTTGTGCATTCAGATGTGCCTCCCTTGTTATAATGCATTTAAGCATCAGTGTGGGGGAGAGCGAGCGCACGATAACATAACGTAGGTGCAACATGGATAATTATAATTCATTCAACAAAGAGGCACTGATTAATGCATATCCCAGCCTTTGATGTACTTCTGACATGTAACAGCGCCTAGCATGCACACAGCCTCCCTATCGACTGGTAGAATGCTCCTGCATTAAATGATCACAGATTATCAGGGCACCAAATGAGCAGAAATGCTTCCGTTTGGCATAACACACAGGACTAAGTTGTATCCCTGGAGCAACATCACTGAGCAGCATTAGCACTGTGATTTTGCAACACCAAGTACTCTAGTTTAATCTCCTCATTAGCAAGAGAGCAAGGTTTTTATCCCAAGTGTCTATGCAAAGGGCGGAGGCAGGAAGTACAAGTTCTCATTAAAGCAGTTCCAGCAAAACATTAAAATGTTTACAATTTTTGGCCGGCTTCTCCAACTTTGGAAGCTCAAAACTAGTGTAACAGTGGATGCCACATTCCCAATTATGGATTGATTTAGGTGCAGACTACTTTGAAGCAATTACAACGCCTTTAAAAGATCACAAAGGCCTTTTGGCTCATTTGATCGTAAACCTTGCAGAATCTCTGCCCTCTGTCCTCCCAATATTGAGCCTCAAATGACTCAAGCATCCTGGCTTCATCCACTCCTCCTGCTAACGTACTCCAGTAGTTAATTGCTCACTGGGTGAAGAAATTTTTCCTGGGGCGTGTCCTCAAATGACCTTTCACAAACCTGAATTTGTGTCGTTCTTGTCCTGCTGGTCTGTTGCATATATTTGACTCACAAATCAGGACGACTGCTTTTTCCAGCTAAAACAAGCGGAAATGCAGATTGAGCCTGATATCTATACCAATTTAATCTGTGACATTGAATACATTGTTATTGCCTTGGTACTAATCGAATTGACATATTCATCTACATGCTTTGTGGTGGGGAGGACAGGAGAGGGGGTGGGGAGGAGGTGGGGTAGAAGCAAAGCAGATGCCTGCAATAGCCCTTTAATATCATTTTTTTTGCTTTGAGACGTTGAGAAGATGTGAAAAGCGCTATATCAAATGCAAGGATTATTATTATTATTATTATTAATATTATTATTATTATTATTATTATTATTATAAATGCAACAAATTGAAGAATGTCACTTAACTGGAAATAAAGGATTGAGTCTTTTCTGTTACGGATTCAGTTGGTATTAAATATTTGTCCGGCCAATTTTAATATCCATTGAACGTTAATACTTCCGGGGCTTCGAAGGATAGAGCTCGGTTATTTTTTCATGAAGGTTTGAATCCATATCTGGAGATTTCAATCCGCACTCTCTCCCATTTTTGCCTCCTCACACAAGTCAAACACATCAACAGTGATAGAGAACACTGCCTGCTCACATTCCTCAGCCAATGATAGTCTTAGGCAGCCATTGGAACGTATCCAAACTATCACTTTCCCCCCCTATCAGCCCCCATCCCTCTGATGATTGCAACGCCAACTCCAATGAAGTAGGTAAGACCACGGTGGGCAAGGAAAAGAAGTTGAGGGCTTTATGAATACTATTCAAGGTTACCTGAGACCATCACTTTAGACTATATTCTGTGAACAGCTTTGAGACGTCTAATAATAATAATAATAATCCTTGCATTTGATATAGCGCTTTTCACGTCGGGAGGTCGTCCCAAAGCGCTTCACAGAACACACTGTAAAGTGAATTGACTGTATATTTGTGGGCGAACGCGGCAGCTAATTGCGCACAGCAATGTCCCACAAGCAGTCGTGGATTGAAAATGACCAATTTATTATTGTTTTGGGTTTTGGAGGGATTATTATTAGGTGTGTGGAGTAAGGAAACTTGCCCAAGGTTTCGCCCTCTGCCTGGAATTGAACTCAGGTCTCTCACTTGCAAAGCGAATGCTCTAACCACTGAGCTATAGGACTCTAGAAGACGTGAAAAGCGCTATATGAAACGCAAGGATTATTATTATTATTATTATTGTGCGCAATCACCTGCTGTGTTTCGCCCACAAAATATACAATCAATTCACTTTACAACATATTCTGTGAAGTGATTTGAAACTTCTTGAAGACGTGATAAGGCACTTTATCAAATGCAAGGCTTATTATTATTGCACTAATGCATTGCAACACTGCTGTTTAGCAAAACATCTAGATTTAATAAATTGAAGTAGCATTTCATTAAAATGAATTTCTAACGAGCACAACACAAATCAGAAACAATTTGGTGAAAAGATTACCTTTTAACCGTAAAAGGTTTTCTCACACAAACACTGGTTGACTGTTCAAAAACAGCAAAAGCCAATGTCACCATCGATGCACATGAAAAGCCTTTCCTTTCTTTAGAGGTAGTCACTCTGTGTGTGAATAACAGTCAAGGCAATGTACTTTGATGGAAATGGAAAAATAAAGAGAAAATGATATATGGCTGTGTCTCCACTAAAGTTGCTACAATCGGAGTAGTGTCACTTTTGTGCAAAATAAAAACTGCTCAAGGTTACAGGTTTTTCCACTAGTACAATTTCATTTCTGCAACCCAGCAATGAAAATAGTTTCATCAAATTGGCGAGTTCTGCAAGGGTTGCAGTGCCTTAAAGAGCTCGGAAACAAAATCTCACCTCAGGCATAGATTCATATGAATTACAGTGTAAGAAGGTTTAGGAGGAGACAATTCACCCAATATCGGTACCACCTGGAGCTATTCCACCTAATGTATGAGCTAATGTGTGTGTATTTTTTTCTTATTGCTAGTTCTTTGCATTTCTGAAATGCAAATTCCACTTTAAGAAATGCACAATTCTCAAAAGGGTGATCTGGCATATACTTGAGGACTAATAGACATTCAGTTATCTTAGACATTCATCTCTTCAATATTTGACACAGGCGAGTCTTTGTATGACTGACTGCTTGATAATGGTTACATTCTGAAACTGTGACTGATGGCTGCTTTGCTCGTTCCTCGCTGTTCTGTTGAAAAACACTGTAATCAAATGCATTGATCAATCTGACATTTACTGGAAAGGACTTGGAATGCTTAAAACGCATTTTCCACGTCTGAAACAATCTGGAGGTGTACTACATTACAGCTCTCAAAAGATGATAGGTTTTGTGGCATTTGGTAGCTGCATAACATTGATACTCAGCATGAACTGTGGAAGATATTTTTAAGCACAGGATGAAAGCTCATCTCCAGAGAGCAGTTGAGGTACATTCTTGGTACACAGTCCATTGGCTCTGCTTTAAATCACAAGGAGAACCAATCTGCTTCGTTTTCAGGAGATTCCAGACTCCAACTCCAAAAGTCTGCTTTCCACTTGACGAATCCTCAAACATTGATCCCTAACAAATTAGTGTTAACTACCTGGAATGAATCTTAACCAACCATGGTTTTCTTGGCAACCACTTTCAACCCAGAAGAAGTATAGGATTTAAAGAATCATGCAAACTTGTGAAAAGTATTTTTTTCAAAAGAAGAAAAGTAATACCAAAAGGCCATTAGCTAAATTTTCCAGATCTAAGAGTAATCAGAGAAGGGGTCCATTTTTCGTCTGTTGGAATTTCAACTTGGAGTCACCATAGCTATTCATTTGTGCATCAAGTTTGATTGTCCCAGGTTATCTATGAAGAGAATTTTTTCACTCCCCAGAACTACTTGGCTTTTTATTCTGCCACAAAATTCACTAATGCCAGATTAACCACCAGTAATTGTGTCGTGTCACATCAACAAAGTAGGCACTAAGATAATAATTGTTGCATTTGATATAGCACCTATAACGCTGATAACATCTCAAAGTGACTCACTAAGTTTTCTGTAAAGTGCAGTCTATATTTATAGATGAACACAGCAACCTAACAATGCCCCGCAAATACCATGAAATGACTTGACCAATTTTTATCTGTTGGGTTGTTGGCCAGAAACACCCTTGTCTTTTCGAATAGTGACACTTTTAGATGCCCAGTAAATAAATAAATAGCTGCAAAACTTTCTCTGTCAGCCCGTGAAACTGCATGAAAAAGACTTTCACGGGCAATCCTATCATCAGAGCTCGTTTCGGTTTTTTAAAAAATTCAAATTCCCCGAGACTTCATTTATAAATGATTGATTTGCATAATTAGCTTGACCTTGCATTCTGTTCCAGATTGATTTCTCACAGATCTCCATAAACCCTGCAAAGATTTGACAGGCCACACCACCCAGCTACACCTTCCATCATACCCCTCGACCTAATCGCCATGGTGGCAAGGTGGCTCTCATCTCCTGGTCCCCGCTCGGCCTATCCCCTTACTACTCTGGAACCTTCTCCTCCTTTGAGCAGCTTATCCTTTATCACCCCTCCAACCTTTCCCTCAAAATTCTCCTTATCTATCGCCCCCCCCCACCCCAAGCTCTCCCCCACCTTCATCCCCGACATCTCCACCCTTCTATTTTCCCTTTCTCTCTGCTCCGAATGCCTCCTCATCCTAGGCAACTTCAACCTTCACTTCACCCCCTCTTGCTCTACCTCTGCTGACTTCTCCTCCCTTATCTCCTCCCTCAACCTCTCCCTCCACATCCACTCCGCTACCCACCTCCGCGGTCATCCCCTCGACCTGGTGATCTCCCCTGCCTCTCAGCTAACTTGGAGTCATCTGAACTCCTTCCCCTCTGGGCTTCCTCCGGCAATGACCTATCCTCCTTGGTCACTCTTCTCCACAGCTCCCTCTCCACTCTCGATTCCCTTGCTCTTCTCTCTTCCTGAACCATCTCCTATTCATGTAAATCACCATGGTACACCAGTCACCTCCGTTCCCTTAAAGCACAGTTGCGTGCCGCTGAAGGCACCTGGCTTACTTTGAGCTTAATGTCCATCGGCAGATCTGGCTGGACCTTATCAAATCTTACCACTCCCCCCTTGCCTCTGCTAAACTGTCGTTCTACTCCAAGACAATCTTGGCGGCCAAGGACAACCCTCAATCTCCTCTTCTCCATCATCAACCGGCTCCTCCGACCACACTCTCACGCCTCGCCCATCCTCACCTCCAATGCCAACTGCGAGGCGATGCTGGATTTCCTCGAATCCAAAGTTGATGGGATCTGCTCGGCTGCCTCTGCCCTTCCGTCTACTACCCCCTCACCATCTCCCCTCCCAACCCGGCCCCTACCCATCACTGCCTCCACACCTTCGAACCTGTCTCCCAATTCTCTCTCACCACCACTGACCCGCATGAAACCGACCACCTGCTCCCTGGACTCCATCCCTATTCCTCTCCTTACCTCCCAGCTCCACCTTCTTGCCCCTCTACTCACAGACATCATAAACCTCTCCCTGCCCTCTGGTACTGTTCCCACTAAATTAAAAATGGCCACTATCTCTCCCATCCTTAAAAACCCCTTCCTGGACCCATCTCTACTCTCAAACTACTGCCCTATCTCCAACCTCCCTTTCCTCTCCAAGGTCCTGGAACAAGTTGTTGATTCCCAGCTTCACTCTTTCCTCTCCCACCACTCCCTTCACAAACCCCTCCATCAGGTTTCTGTGCCGCCCACAGCACAGAAACAGCCCTGGTCAATGTGATAAATGACATTGTGTCCATCTCCAAACAGGGCTCCCTCTGCCTCCTCATCCTCCTTGACCTCTCTGCTGCCTTCGACACTGTCGGCCACTCTATCCTTATCCATTGCCTCTCCTCTCAGGTGCTGCACACTCCACCTTACTAAGCCAGTCTGGAACTTTGGCGTCTTGTTTGACCCTCAACTATCATTTCTTCCCCACATCTGTGCCATGACCTGCTCTGCCTTCCCCCACCTCCGCAACGTCACCCGGCTCTACCACTGTCTCACACCGCAGGCCGCCTAAACCCTCATACACACTTTCATTACATCAAGGCTTGACTATGCAAACTCTTTGCTTGTTGGCCTCCCCAACTCATCCAGAACTCTGCAGCCCATTTCCTCTCCCACACCAGGCTCCGTGACCCTAACAAGATCTTGGTCCTCACCTTCAAAGCCCTCCATGGTCTTGCTCCCCGCTTACCTCTGCAATCTCCTAACTCCCTATCATCCTGGCCGATTCCTCCACTCAGCGGGCTCCGGCCGGCTCCCCATTCACCTGCCTCGCTCACCCCACCATTGGCGGTCAGGCCTTCTGCCACTCTGCACCCACCCTCTGGAACTCCATCCCGCAGTCCCTCCGCCTCAACCCCTCCCTTGTATCCTTCAAGACCCATTTCAAGACCTCCTCTTCGACCGTGTTTTCGATCACCCTGCTTCCTGCCCTGCCCTCCACCCTCCCCGACACCGACCCCCAGCTCGGGTCCGAAACACTGACTGTCCAGCGCCTTGGAATGTCCTTCCGACTTGAAAGGTGCTACACAAATGTAATTTTGTTGTTGTTGTTATTGGCAAACGATCGTGAGTAGAGTCACAACACAAAAGAGAATTTATTTAGTATGATTTGACAAATATCCTTTACCTTTTTATGCATTCACCTTTGAAAAGATTAATATTTGCTCTTCTACACAAACTCATAATGCCGCTCTCCTCAATTGAACTGTGATTGGGGTGGAGGTGTGTGGTGGTGGTGGGAGGGGGGGGAAAGGTTAGGGGTTGCATTTGATTAAATATATCTTTCCCCCTACATCAGAAATGAAGTTGCATGTGACCGGATTAGAAGAATCTTGGATTTTATTCAACCACATTATGTTGGACAATTGGACAATTAAGAAGTGTATTACTTAATTGCTGAGACTATTCACAGAAAGAACCTGCATGGTTAAAGCCCACATATAAAGAGCTCAAATCAACATAAGATTTGTCAGTCCATTATCCAATAATGATTACGATGGACGTCTTCAATTTTGATGCCTTCGTAATTGAACGCCGGTGAACATTTGTATTGTCCATTTGAAAGGTTGATACATGCAAGATTCGGCAAGCAAGGGCAGAGGTGATGTCTGCGCTCCCCAAAGTATGGGACCTAGGGTACAAATATAATGGAGTTAAAACACTATTCACTATTCATGTTGAAATAAGTCATTTTACAAACATGCGAATAAGGAATCCTCTTTAATGTCCAAGCTGTTTTTCTATGTGTACTCATTTGTGCATTGATTAAAGAGAAACATTGGTCTTTCATTTCTAAAGATGATTGCCTGCAAATATTTTGGCAAATTACTATGATCGTATGTGAGGAAGAAAAAATACGGGAAGAATTTCCCCCTAGGTCTAGATGTAAGTAGCGTTTACAGTGTCCATAATTTGGCAAATTGTTGAATTCAATCGTTAACACTGAAGTTGTTTTTCTGTAGCTCTTAAGAGAGTTAGCAGAAAACCTGCTTCAAAATTGAGGAGCGTGTATTTAAGAATTTGCCATATTCTGGATGGTATGGTCACAAAATAGACACAGATTGAATTTGTCCTCAATAATGCATTTATCATGAAGCTATCGATACACAGCTAAAGGAGTTAACTGCAGCTTTCTGTCTTGGTAAATATGAAACCAATTTTTTTTCTGTCTACTTAAATACATTGATAACACTGATTCTTGAAAAAAACTGTGAAACTGTTTTGTGAATGTCTAAGCCCTTGGCAGAGGGTATGTTTAAGGCGTGTAATATGTGTTTTACAAGCAAGGCTAATTCACTGGAGAGCTCTACTGATGAAGGAGCAATGAAGAGTACATGTTATAACAAGCGCTAACATTATAGAGTGAAACTGTGACAATTCATCACCCAAGGGAAAAAGCTCAAATAACTACTTATTAGAGTTGACCATCCAATGCATAGTGTCTCAAAAGTAAAAGTACTTGAATAACAATAATAATTGTGAAGCGCTTTGGGACGTCCTCCCGACGTGAAAAGCGCTATATCAAATGCAAGGATTATTATTATATTATTATTATTAATCCTTGCGCCTTATATAGCGCCTTATCGTATCTTCGAGACGTCTCAAAGGGCTTCACAGAATACACTGTAAAGTGAATTGACTGTTTAATTTGAATTAGAAACTGGGCAGCCAATTGTGCACAGCAATGTCCCACAAACAGTTGTGCATTGAATATTTATTTTTTGGAGGGATTATTACCCCCGGAAAAGCGATCCGCCAATCGACTAACAACCAGGTTCCTACTTCCTGCTAGGTAAACAAAGGCATGCGGATTAGGGAAACTTGCCCAACGTTTCATCCTGTCCGGGAATCGAACCCAGATTTCCAACTCCTGAGTAGCCTGGATATCGAGTGAGTGACTAGTTATGTTGGGTTGACGACTTAGCCCAGGAGTGAATTTTCAGAGTTTCACTGTATTGAAAAGCATTGATTTGCCATTTGTTTAGTTACTGAACTTAAGCCCCAATGAATGTCTGAGCCCAAACCTTTCAGTTGCATAAATGTAACATTTTAAAACCGGCGCTCGATTTTGTTTCCCCTGTTACAAAACGAATGTTCTCCCTTATTGACCAAGAGCTTTCATTTAGATTTCTAAGGAATATGCTTCAAATTACATGGAAGAGGATGCTAAGGGCACTACTTGAAGTTAATACTAATTGATAACAGCTTGTCTTTGTTAAAATCGTTCATATTCTGCTGCTTTGAGTACTTTCTTCTGCACCATTTCTATGATGCGCACTTCAAGATACAACGCTATTCATCATTAAAGTCACAGCCTGTGGATCTGTGGTCTAAATTACCCCTGTGTGAATAACAAACCATCTGACGAAGCTTCATACGCAATTTCAACCAAGAAAACTGTACTGCAGAGTGGAATATGATTAATATTTTCAACCCGATCTGATGTGTTTTATGTCTGTCCCCAACTGGCCTGGGGATCTTTAAGGTCATCCATGGCCTTGCCTCCTCCTACTTTTCTGACCTGCTGATTCCCTACCAACCTGCCCGCTCCCTCCGTTCATCGGGCTCTGGCCTGCTCCATGTCTCCCGCCCTACCATCGGTGGCCGGGCTTTCAGCCTCTCTGCCCCCACACTCTGGAACTCCATCCCACAGTCCCTTCACCTCGCTTCCTCCCTCGCCTCCTTCAAGGCCGGTCTCAAGACCCTTCTCTTCGACCGTGCCTTTGGTCTCCCTCCCACCTATCTGCCTTCCCTCACCCCTACCCCACCCCTCCCCCATGCTCGGGCCCTGACACCTAATTTTTCAGAGCTTTGGGACATAGAGCATAGATAGCCCCTTCTCCAATATGGTATTAAGCTTATTACGCTTTAGTACCCTGCTCGGGTCCAAATCCCTGACCGTCCAGCACCTTGGGACATCCTCCCGACGTGAAAGGCGCTACACAGATGTAATTCTATATTGCATTACGTTTAAATAATTGAATTATTTTGGTGGTGTCTGTACTGGGAAGAGGGCAGGTGAGTCCAGTGCACTTGTTTCCTTTCTGCATGTCACTGGTACTTTGCGATCTATGCAGCTGCACAACCCTTTGAAGGAGAGCGATATTTTCTGCTTTTTACATAGCTTCTTTCAATCAAAATCCTTGATGACTGTCCCCCCCACTCACCACCTCTTTCATGGTAATGATAAGCAAAAAAAATACTAACTTTGCGACTCAAAGGATGGCATTTATCGCCTTCTTCACCCATCGGTGTGCACACTCGGAGGCCCCTAAGCCACAGGCTAGCAGCACAGCAGTGTCCTTGCCTGCACTCCCGATCCCTGTTGCAAGCCTGTACATGAATAAGTAAAATTGGACAACGTGAAAACACTATCAATATTCAACAATCCAAGTCTGTTGGAACAAGAAGTGACGAATTAATCATAACTAGGTTAGACAAGATCAGGTATTTCAAAAGCATCTTGTTGGACACTGCCGAGTACATCTAGTGGCCTGGATGTATTTTGAATAATAACTGGATGGAAGAATCTCAAATTATAGTCACGACCCTTACGTTGGGTAATGAAATGAATTTGAATGTGGGATCTCAGTGAGAGAGAGGAAATCAATTTGAGTGGAGGGATGGCAATTCCGTGCATTACATTGTATGTCGTGAGTATTTTTGCTCAGACAACTTGTGGTTTGTGGCCTTTGTATGCTTTGGAGTTTTTTTTCTTTGATACACTATTCAATAGTACATCTGGTGACCTTTATCCTGACTGAGTTATACGTAGATGTATATGTATGTTTTCAGCTGCTCTATCAGTTGTTTACTCCATCCAAAGGCACAGAGTTTAGGATGCTAAATGGTAATGATTTGTTAAAGTCTGTGGAAAGTTGATTGATTGATTGATTGATTGAGAATTTACCAGTGATCCTGATCCTAAATCAAGTCTAATATAAAAAATCATTTTAACACTACGACTTTATCGAGCTAATGTTTCAGCAAATTTCAGCTTCAATACTATCAGAATTGACTTGAGTCTCAGACTTTCCGAGTCACCAGTTACTTGCATTATTTGGGCTATTTTGGGACGTTATAAGTCTGGTGTGAAAATTACAAAATAAATTGTTGGAAGTGATAATGCGGGAAAAATGTAACATTTTATGTTGCAGCTAGATGATCGTTTGAATGCAGTAAAATTAGGGCAAAAGACTGCATTTGTATATTTGCACATAGGTTATAGTACTTTGAGGTTTGCTGACCTTAGGCTATTGAAATCCACACTACAGAAGTGATTCTGAGCTTTCGAGAAAGCGGGTGCATTTAAACAAGTAAGTTAGCCATTCAACAATAGCAAAGATCATCTTGAGGACATAAACAATGCATTAAATTTATCACAATTAATTCTCAACAAACAATGGCATTTCCAAAACACATGTTCCAGGCCCCTCCATATTCTTGTCGATGAACAGTTCAATTGGGCAACATTTAACTCTTATGTTCTTATGGGGTACAATATATAGTTTGGGACACCTTGGTCTTCTTTCGCCTAGCATATTCTTATGTTCTTATGTATTACATGGGTTAGGAGAAGCTAACGTAAAATATAAAGGAGAGTGTACAAGATAAAAACATAAGATCTGCTCAGAGAAGACCTTCTCCTTTTCTGACATGGAGATACTGGACAGGACTAAGTCCTTCTGATAGGTAAGACAAGTGAAATTGTCAAATCGCGACCACAGAATATTGAACTTTATTGCTTTTTGTTGTGTACCCCGGTCTTTTCCAGGCCTGTACATACCTTTACTACACAGTCAATTAACTTTACAGTATATTTTGTGAAGTGCTTTGAGACGTCTTGAAGATGTGATAAGACGCTATAAGGATTATTAGTAATATTTATTATCTTCTCAGCATCTCTATTGATTCTATTTGGCTTTTGCTTGCCCTTAAGGACCATTTGCATGTCATCTTATGTCTTCAATGCCCTCAATGTCTTCGTTAGAAATTGTCTTTTCAATACAGAAGGCAACAGGTAGAAATGAAACATATAAAATGTGACCCCCTTTTAATTCACAGTAAGTAGGTTGGTGCCTTTCAATGAAGAATGAAAGTCTTTGTAGATAGTGTGATTTAATCATGATTGACAAAGACTGACCCTCCTAGACTAACTATCTGTTAAAAAAAAGTAAGAAATCGAATTAAATGTGCTGAGAAACTGAAAGAAGTCTTTCAGTGCTGGATCAAATCACAAAGTGTCTAATTTGCGTGTTGTGCTAACCATGTGTAAACACAGGTGCAAAGAGGAAATTTAAGTGCGTTAATTATCGAATTAACAACTAATGAAACTGTTAACGGATTATTCTTGTAATTTTTTTGTTAATTGTGTAATCAAGAGAATCTGTCAGTTTTTTGTTTACACGTGTGTTTACACATTCATTTCAACATGATTGGTACAACCCACATATTGTGCTCCAATGCCCACATAGACTCCACAGGAAGCATCAGTGGTACCCAAACATTTGTGCTTGTCATCAACAAATTTAATGGTGTTCTGAATCTACTCTAAAATATTCTAATTCAAAATCGAACAACAAGTTTCATTGATAGGATTCTGTGCGGAAGAGAATAAATATTGTTTTGCATTTCATTTTTGTACCTTCTCAATTTATCTATGATTTATGGCCATTTATCCACTACAATAATGTGTAAATTAATGTTAGAAATATCTACAGATTATATTCTCTTTCCACCACAGGTACATCTGTATATTTCACGACATAATTTCACAAAGATATTATCTTTCAGGGTCAGAGTAGTTTTATGGTAGACATGTTACTGTTCATTTCTTTGCCACTGCTACCAACTGAATTATCTTTAATGAGTGTTCCTCATTTACATTTTCATTAAATTCATTGCGTGGTGAATACAACTGCCAAGAAATGCACCAAAAATCTGCTCTGTGCAGTATAGCAAATCCTTCCTGTGGGGCAGTATCATTGAATGAGTTTACAACAGAAGGTGGAGGTCTTAAAATTACAATGCTCTGGGCTAGTATAAAACTACGAGAATCTCTTCAACCTTCTCACTCTTAAACTTTACAGATACTTGGGGAATGGCGGGATAGGAAAGCATAATGATTTTTCTCATTTAGGATAGAGATAAAATCTATCAATAGCAAGACTTCTGCCCTTAATGCTGTCCTTAGGTAAAATTGAAACTACCTGTTTGTTGGTACAGAATTTCCTTACGATACAGGATGTCTCATTTGCCTGCTAGCAACTGACTTGTCAGGAGCACTTATTTCATTAGACTCCGGATACCATAATGAATCCTGAATGTCATTCCCCTTCTCTTCTTTATGGCTATAGTGTCATAAGATGACAAGAGTAATTCAGATGAAGAAGGTCTTTTGGACCAAATTGATCTCATCCTTTCAGAATACCAACCCTTCCGTCCTGACTTCACATCATCATCTCATTACATGATTCCAGGATCCTGACCTCAAACACCTTTGCTGGTAACTTATTCCAGTTGTTAAATTCCCTCTGGGTGAAGAAACAAAATCTGTGATGTCCTCCCATAATGTGGCAGAATATTTCTATGCTTAGGATCAGGAATATTGCACCATCAGACAGTGTGGTCTGAGTTGTAGCCAGTCTGTTTGCCGTCTAATCTGGTTCTCCCCAAATGTATAGCATCTATAATGAGATTAATGGAAGGTGACGGTGGCTGCAAATGCGATGACATATTGCTTCCTTCAAGGCGTGTCTCAAAACCTTCCTCTTCGACCAAGCCTCTTCCAACCTCCTACCCTCCTTGCCCCTCACCCTCCCTAATCCCCAGTTTGGGTCCAAATCCCTGATTGTCCAGCGCCTTGGGACGTCCTCTCAATGTGAAAGCCTCTATACAAATGTAATTTTGTATGTTGTATTGAATGATATTGGCCCTGATGATCCACTATGAAGAGATTGCTGAGATTTGAGACTACAAAAATAGCATGGTTTTGAACCTTGTGTTAGTTAGAACTATCTTATGCTTAGGTCTATGAAAAAGCAAATCTTTTGTGAAAGCTACCTGAATATATACTTAACAGGCAATTCTGCTCAACTCCCCTTGAGGAGCATGTTTAAATGTTTTCAATGTAGGATTCAAATTAGCATTTGGTCACTGATAATGACGAGGAGACTAATGCAGCCTTTAATTAGCTGTAATTTGGGCTTCCAACCTTAGCCATCAAGTTATGTATAATCATGAACAGAGAGAACATCTTTTTCTCATTACTGAGGTGTTGCTTTCTTTCATTGCATTTGCTATCCCTACACTTCTCAGGTGCCTAAAATCTACACAATGGCCCACTTGGCTTTCAAAGGCACGCCATTCAATGGCAATCCACCATCCTCTTCGATCTTGCCTTTGCCCACCCTCCTACCCTCGCTGCCTCCACCCTCCCTGATCCCAACACCCCCCCTCCCCCACCCCCTGCTCGGGTCCAAATCCTTGAAAAATCCTCCTGACGTGTAAGGCGCTATACAACTGTAATTTTGTATTGTATTGTAACCTTGACTGCAATAGTAAAAAGTCAGTGAAGTTTTAATTGATCGCTGGCGATGGACAGACTCTTTGTACGATTGATTTTACTTGTATTCAAACAAATTGAACAAGAATTCTGTCATGTTTTTATTTTGTATAATGCAGTCCTCAAATCAAGAATAAATTGTCTCTTGGAGGTGCACCAGAATAATGTCCAGGTTGGGTATTTTCTCAGTTATTGCCTCTAAGTCAGTTCCCTTGTACGTGGAATACATTTATTTTCTAAATAAGCATTCCTTGTTTCAGGAATTTTTCTGTATCCACTGAATAGCAATAGTGTAATAGTTACAAGTATAAGTTAAGAAAACATGCCTTACTAAATGTGAGTTCCCCAAACACCTACACATAACTTTTCTTTCCATTTAACTTGCACTGTATAATTCTTCCACGTTACTCTTTTGGGTGGGTCATTTTTTTTTGTCCAACTGCAGGAAAAATATGTACTGTAGCAGACACACATCCCGTGTTTATAATCGACAGAAATACTCCCAATCACTTTGGGATAACCTGGCGTTTCACTCTCAGCTGCTGTCAAATTTACGAAGTACTCACTGTGAAACCAGAGGCCAAGTAACAAGCACAGTATATATATATTTTTTCGCCCACAAAATATAGTTAATTCACTTTACAGTGTATTCTGTGAAGCGCTTTGAGACGTCTTAACTATATAAGGCGCCAAATGAATGGCAAGGATTATTATTATTATTGGTTTTCCATGTGATGCTGAGCGCTGTTGTGTATTGCATTCTATAATTCTGTAAAGGTGATGTACGTGGCAAGCTTAAAGCACGGCTCATGGCTGATTCTGATGCCTAAGGTGTCTACTCCAGTGAACAAAGTTGTCTAGTGTCCCTTCTATTTATTTTGGCCAAGGTGGTAGACCCACATGTTATACTCACTTGTGGCATTCCTTAATCATGTATGAGACAGTTTCCCATTCTTGAACCTTCCAATGTATTTTCCTAGAGGTCAATAGATAGGCAATTGAAATCTGTCACTCATGAATTCCATGGGCCTCCTCATCCATAGGATCTCTCCTATGTATTGAATTTCTTATTGAGGTTTTCGCCCAATTCACTAGACATTACAAACTGGGAGGGATACCTAAGAGTGACTAAATTAAGGAAATGTATCCCTCTCAGTTACGTTCAGATAATTGTACAAACGTGGTAGACCACAGTTTGAGCACTTCATGACTATGATTGGAGGTAGAGAACCAGATTAGATGAGGGCGATTCAAACATTTTAAATAAGGCTTTATAATTTTTTAGGTGGAGTTTGAAATCAGTTTTGTCGATCACTAATGAGAAAACCATCAATCAGTATGAGTTGCAGTATGAATGAACATAGTCCCAGGTTCATTGCAATTGCATTCCAATTGATTATTGGTGAATCACAGCTCATTCCATTACTGTACAAAACTCTTGTCATTATCTTTCCTTGATGTATTATTTCAACCCGCTATTTGTGAAATTACCATATAGCCTCTTGGCACAGCAGTTACAGTAAAACACATCTATTTTGCAATTCCACTTCGAACACACTTTCACCACTACTTAAAATAGAAGATCCAGGAAAGGAGATGAGAAAACAAAGGGCTGGAACTGAGCTTTACTGCTCCCTCGGAAGGTGGAAAACCTTTTTGAGCTTTCGTTTTGTGGTTTGCCTTATCATCAAAACCTTTGAGATTGATCGAATGATAGTTGTAACTCTTCCCAATGCACCAATTACTCTGGATGGCTTTGCCGTGTAGGGGTAGCCACTTAACAGGATATTGCAAGTCTCCCACCCAACGCATGATGGGGATGTAGTGAGACATCATAAACCGCAAGGGAGAAATTCCAATGGCCCATCGATGTCATTGGAACCCACAGAGTTATTGCAGCCTTGAAATTACACTGTTGTGCGGATCAGATATATATATCACTGTGAAGGAAATGTTTTGAGACGTCTCAAAGTCGTGATAAGGCGCTATATCAAATGCAAGGATTATTATTATTATATTAAAATAAGGAAGGCATGGTGGGGGAGGTTAGTGAGTTGAGGAGGATATTTCAGATGTGCAAACAGATGTGTTTGGTGAGCACTGGAGATGGTGAAAGGAGATCGAAATCTTTGCAAAGATTTTTCAGATACCTGGCAGTGACTGTCTGACTGACTGATTTGTCAATTTAAATTATAATCTTAGACGACAAGGAATTTTGAGATTTTCTGACATCACAGGTAGCAGAAGTAACCTGCTGGCATTTGACTCATACCTTTTTTTGTTTGTTCAAAATTAGCCTTGTAAATATTATATATTATATTGTGACTATTAGAATTATTTGCAGCATTATCAGTGCAAAACCTCAATTCCAAATCTACCCTGTTCTAATCTAAATACTTTTGCAATCGACTCCTATCATTACTAGGGTGAGTTAAAGACTTTTTTTCCCCCCCAAAGAAAGTCTTAATTTTGAGCTCAGGGAGCGATTAAATCGCTTAAATACGAATACACATGCACATTGCATTAAGAAAAAACATAACATTAAATGTTTGCAACCCAGCCTTTTATCTGAATTTTTGCAACTTACAAACCAAAAGCAGCCAAAAGCAGAATAGATTTACAACCGAAATTTAATCCAAGTTCCAAGGAGTTTGCTTTCTGGAGATTATTCCTTTAACGTGGGCAAAAGAGATTTCACCAGGATAGAACAAATGCAGATTGCATTCTCCCATTTAACAGATGGAAAACTTTTACCTCCTGTCTTTAAACTCGCAGTGCAGAATTACCTATATATATATTTTTTTTCCCCCCCCAGTGCAAAATTTGCAATCATTCGCAGAAAAATAAAACGAAACAAAAAAAAACACACACACACTCACTCACTCACTCACTCATTCACTCACTCACTCTTATTTCATGACTCGAATTAATTACACAGGAATGCATTTGACATCAGCAGCAGCTTTCACAACATCTCAAAGCCATGGCAAACAAGTCCATTGATAATCTAGAAATCTATAATCTATAATCAGAGAAAGGGAGGAGAGAGAGAGAGGAGAGAGAGAAGAGAGTGAGAGAGGAGAGAGAGAGAGAGAGATAAAAGTATTTAACTCACCCCAGTAATGATAGCAGTGTAAACACAGCTTAGGATAGTCAAACTGATGAGGACCAAGGAGAGGATCTTCATGATGCAGGTTTGAGAAAAGTTTTCTCTCTCTCTCTCTCTGTGTGTCTTCTCTCTCTCTCTTTGCCCCTGATGAGCTGGAGTGGAGTTGGGTTGGGTTGAGTTGGTTGGGTTGAGTTGTTGAGCTGTGGTGTGTGCTTGACTGAGTCGACTTGGGAGATGGAGAGCGACTGTATTATAGAGGAGCTGCAGTGAGCTGTCACTCAGCTGTATATGACTCATCGTCAGAAGGTACAAACTGCAACCAGCAACAAGGCTTTTTTTTCTTTCTTTTTTTGCTTCCTCGTCCTCTGGATCCTCTGCATTCCCCCCAGAACTTAAGAAAGCATCCACTCCCCCCCCCCCCCCCCCACCAACCCCCACCAACCCCCAGCATCAGGTGCCACTCAACCCCTCCAACCCCAACCCCAACAGTTGCACACAGGTCTTCAAGGGATAGATGACAAGGAACTCTTGTTGTTGTTGTTGTTGTTTTAAAGACACCTTGAAAACGATGATCATTTCAAAGCCAAATAATAATAATAATAATAATAATCATCATCATCATACTAATAATAATTTGGTCATTCAATCCACCACTTTGTTTGTGCCCCACTGCTGTGCGCAGTTGGCTGCCGCGTTTCGCCCGGGGAATAGAATAATAATAAAAATCCTTGTAGTCCATTCACTTGACGGTATCTTCTGTGAAGCATTCTGTGACGTATCGACGACGTGATAAGGTGCTACATCAAACAAAATGATTATATATATACATACATTATATATTATGAACACGGTTTAACGTCCATCTTTGCTACTGATGTTCTGGTTTGAGGGGTTAAAAAAGTTCAAGACTGAGACATTTTATTACTTGGACTAAAGTTAATGGTCTTCATTCAGGACTGTTTGTGCTGGAATTCATGTAGTGCTTCTGATACTTGCCAAAATTCAATTCAGACTGAAAGAGACACGAACATTAATAATTTCTGCAGTCGGGATATTCATAACAGGAAGGCATTTTAAGGACTTAAAAATCTGATTACTGCCTGACCTTGCCCAAGATTTCGTCCTCAACATTTGTATTCATTTATTTGCAGTCAGTTCATGGATGGAGGCAGTTAGTTCACAAAGTCTGGCTTTTTATCCATGTTTGTGCTTATTTCTGGGCTGGAAGACTTTGCTCAAAATGCAGAAACTTAAGCATTATGACACCAAGCACCTCCAGGAGAAAAATCACGGCAAATGCATTATCCAATATTCCTCAACTTGCAGCTTACGGTCTAGGCTGACACTGCAATGAGGTGCTGGGATCCTGGAAGTGGGGAAAGAGAGCTGTGTGTTCGGAGGTGCTGTGCTTCAGATAAGATGCTAACCCCAAGTCCTATCCACTCGATCAAGTAGATGTTAAAGATTCTGTGACAATATTTGAAATTGCTAAGGAGTTTCTCTCGGTGTCGTGGCCAATGATCCTCCAGTTAAAATTCCAGTGGCTTTCGGTGGGACGTTGCTGTGCTCAAATTGGCTGCTGCGTTTGTCTGCAAACACCCCATCGCTATACTTTATGGTAAAATCCTGTAAAGAGCTTGAAGATGTTTAGGTGATGTAATAAAGCGCTTTAACCAAATGCAAGGATTATTATTATTTTCATTATGCTTTATCAGATCATTTTGTGAATGCAGAAATTACATTTGTGTAGTGCCTTTCATGTCAGGAGGACATCCTAAGGTGCTGAAACATGCAAGATAAATTACACATTTATTTTTACATGTTTTATTGTCTTAGAAAGCAGAACATAAGTTTGGGTCTTCTGTAAAAGACCGGAAAAGCAATACAAAAATCAAAATTCTCACAGCTCCTGTTTAGCAAATTTACTTTTAAACATTTATTTGGACAGCAACAGACTATTACAAAAGTATTTTTGCGTTTTGCATTTCACCCACAAAACATACAGTCAATTCACTCGACAGTATATTCTGTGAAGCGCTTTGAGACGTCTTGAAGACATGATAAGGTGCTATATCAAATGCAAGGATTATTATCTCCTAAAAGATCATGGGATACAAGCAGCGTGAGCTATTAAGTCTATTTCCACATTCTGATAATTATTTAAAATTTAAACAATAGAGTTCAATGCAGTTCTTCGTTATGAGATAATAATTCTTGCCCCTTCCCAATACAGGCTCACACGTGTTCATACCCAAAGGTTACTTTACCTCAGGAAATAATAGAATCTGAAGATGCTAAGTTATGTCAATGGTCATTTTCAATTTTATTTCTTCCCTGTCAAAGCTTTGGAGTTCAACAGTGGTTTGTGGGACCATACTGTTAAAACGAGTGAGGGAACACTAATATTTTATGTCCTGGTTAAGGATACTTTTTGCTATTTACCTCTTTGCAGCACTTTTATATCAGTTCTTTCACTCTTTCAAATACTATGTTTTTGGTACTGACTTGGTATTAAAGGACAGGACAGTTTTAATGAGCTTGGCAATCTGGAAGGAAATTGCTCTGGAGATTGCTTGACAGAATGTAAGACACACACTGATGCAGAATAAGTAATCCTTGCATTTGGTAATGAGGATGATGCAAATTCATTCAATCTCTGATCCATAATAGCCTTTAACTCTCTTGTAAGGTCCCGTAATTGGTTAACGTGCTCGCCTTGCCAGCAAGAGTGCCTGGGTTCGATTCCTGGGTGGGGCAAATTCTTAGGCAAGTATCTTTACTGCACACATCTCTGTTTACCTAGCAGTAAGTAGGAACCCGAATATTAGTCGATTGACGGATCGCTTTCCGAGGGTAATAATCCATTAAGAAAAAGTTTGTCATTCAATCCAAGAATATTTGTGTGACACTGCTGTGCACAATTATCTACTGCGTTTTGCCCACAAATACATTATCAATATAATCCTGTGAAGCGCTTTGAGATGTCTCAACGATGTGATAAGGCGCTATATCGAATACAAGGATTATTATTATTATTAAAAAGTTCTTGTCCGTGCCAATGGTTTGCTGTTAATTTTTTAAAAATTATGAAAAAAACAATGACATTATTGTGCAGAATATTGTCAAACTGGCTGGTCTACTCCAAAGATTTCTCTTTTCTGCGAATTTTATGTTTAGGTCACTGTAAAAGATCCTACAGTACTTTCAGAACAGATCAGGGAGTTTTGCTGAAGTCCTGGGTAACATTCAACTTCCACTCCGCCCCATTCATATTCACCCCCAAACATAGAATAATCGGTTATTCATTTCAATGTGGGACATTGTGGCACAGATGAGCAGCAGCATTTAATAATACAACAGTCACTACACTTCAACATAAGTCTTAAAAGATAAAGCACTAGATCAAATTCCAGTCTTTTTATAAGTACGTATGTAAATCTTCATCAGAATTTATAGCCGAGCATAATAAAATGAAAGACACCTTGCATTGCCAACTGGCACTTGAAAGAATAGCCGGTGAATGTTTAAATCATTCTTTGTTAGAAATTTCAAAGTCTTGCATTGACTCTCTCGGAGTATCTGGAACATTACTAATATATCCATTGTTGGCATTTCCGTGCTATATTTCTCCTGCAGTAAAATCATTTGAAGAACACTTTTTGTTAGTAACACCAGTGAATGGTGTTTGTAGGCTTCTCAGATATGTGTCTCAAAAAAGATATTGTTTGAATCAAAGTCCCTTAATATGGACTGAAAGCGTACAAGGTTGGAGAGTCGTGAATAGAGACGGAAACAGTAACATGCATCACACCGTCCTTGACTGCTCAGCGAGGTCGAATTATTGCAAAACAGAATCGAATAAAAACAGAAGGCAAATCCTCCTCCAAAACACAAAGTTTCAGTGAATTTTTCTAGTTTGTCTTAACAGGACAGATGAATTGCCGTGAAGCCTGCGGTGAAAACCCAATCCACAGAAAATTGGAACTTGCTACAGGCATTATTTGAAAAGGGGAGGGAGTTTCTTCTGGTGTCTTGACCAACATTTGCCCAGATAAAATTGATCATTCATTTCACATATGCATATAGGACATCAATGAACTCAAATGCAAGGATTATTTTTTTAGGATTATTATAGGACCTTGTTATAGTCAGCTCCTGGAACCTGGTCACCATAACATCAACATAAATTGACTTTTCACCTTTTCCCCTTCCAGTTGTTTGTGGGAGATTGCCGTGGAAAAAATTGGCTGCTCCAAGTCTAGTCCACAAATACATAGTCGCTACGTTTACCGAAAAACTTTGTCAAAGTAGTAAAGTGCTATATAAAATGCAAGGATTTTAATTAATTTTTTTATCGTGAGCCTGCTGGTAAATATTACCATTCCTGGTTACTGGTAACAGGAAAAATGAGTCAATTGAAATGAAAAATCATACTAGTCTAACTTTAACTAGCTTGAATCCTAATCACTTCAAATCTGTGAAAAATCTTAGTTTGATAAATATCAGCCCTAATTTGTGGTACTTCTGCCTTACACTGCTTGAAAAATTAATTAAAATACTTTAATATTTAATAGAAGTACATTATCCACATACTGTATGAAAATATGTTCTATATCCGGACAAGTGGGCTTTCATTTGCCTTTGTGTAAGAGACAAAATAAAAATTACAGTTTTCCCGAGAGCTTGAAATTAGCCACTTTAACAGGTCAAATGCTAAATGTCAGTGAGGTTTTCTAACTGAGACAAATTGAACTGTTCTGAAGAAGGTAGTAATAAAGCAGTTATATGATGTAATTTGCATTGATCCAAAGTGACTTTAATGCTGAACCAACACAAATCTTGCGGTACAGTTGTTTCAAGAGTATTATACTTAATGTAGTCAAGTAATATGAGAACCTTATCACAGAAGCATAACACTGTAAATCTGTTTGGTCCTGTAGCTCAGTGATGAGAGCACTCGTCTCACAAGCAAGAAACTTGGGTTCGATTCTCGGCAGGGCGAAACGTTGGGCAAGTTTCCTTACTCCACAATCGCCTACAAAATTCGCAGTCACTACACTTTACAGTAAATCCTCTGAACCACATTGAGATGTCTTCTGCACATGAAATCTATAATCTCAAATGCGCAATCAATGCTGGAAACCTCTGTGAATCATTTTGATGCGATAAGGACCTATATCAAATGCATTCAAGTATCAAAAACACCTTCCAACACCGCAAAACAACCATTCTTTTAGCAACAAAATACTTAGTAGGTTCAATTGTGCCTTCAGTATTTTCCTTGTGCTCAAATTGCGGCAAGATGTTTGCCTAATACAAAGTTTAGATTTATAATGCAATAAAGTAATTGAATTCACAATGTTTTATCCACTGAATAATACATATCTTTTGGCCACAAAATATACAGTCAATTCACTTTACAGTATATGCTGTGAAGTATTTTGAGACATCTTGAAGAGGTGAAAAGGTGTTATATTAAATGCAAGTATTATTATTATCATCACGGAACCATAACGCTGTAAAGCTATTTGGTCCTGTAGCTAAGTGAAAGGATTATTATTATTATTATTACCTTATTGAATGCAAGTATGTTAGGCAGTTCTCCCTTAATCATCATATGAGACAAAAGCACTCCTGGATCTTTTGCTTGCCATTAGGAATAGTAATAATAATAATAATAATCTTTGCATTTGATATAGCGCTTTTCACGTCGGGAGGACATCCCAAAGCGCTTCACAGAACACACTGTAAAGTGAATTGACTGTATATTTGTGGGCGAACGGCAGCCAATTGCGCACAGCAATGTCCCACAAACAGTCGTAGATTGAAAATGACCAATTTATTATTGTTTTTTGATTTGGAGGGATTATTATTAGGCTCTGTGTGGAGTAAGGAAACTTGCCCAAGGTTTCGCCCTGACCTGCCTGGAATTGAACCCAGGTCTCTCGCTTGCAAGTCGAGTGCTCCAACCACTGAGCTACAGGACTCCACGGAACTGAAAGCTTTCATCGAGTTTTGTTCATATCTTTCATCCAATTAACAGTTCAATTAAGAACGCAAGATTTCTGAAGTCATCAGAAATGTAGAAGATGGTGAATTTCACCGTAAAAAGATGAAAGAATTCATTTCTCTATGGAGGATCAATGCACAAATGGGCAAAATGCCTCTAATGCATATCGCTTTAGCCTCAATGGAACAATTCATTGAACAGCTGTCAGATACCTTATTTACACAACAGCTGTTGATTTGATTTGATACTGAATCAGCAGCTGTTATGCATTTATTTCCTCCTGCAATCCAGAATCCAGGTTGCCAATTTAATGAGCAAGGTGACTCAACTTCTTCCATAAGTCCTGTAGCTCAGTGGTTAGAGTGCTCACCTTCAAGCGAGAGACCTGGATTCGATTCCCGGGCAAGGCAAAGTATTGGGCAAGTTTCCTTACTCCATATGCCTCTGTTTACTTAGTAGTAAGTAGGAATCTGGTTGTTAGTCGAATGGTGAATCGCACAGCACAGGTCCAAAGGGCTGAATGGTCCGTTTCTACCCTGCACTATATTTAAAAGGCCTGGAGATCCGCTAAACACCAACATTGCTTGCCAAGCTCGCCAGTGTCCTGACTGCGAGTTCCAGCAGGTCACCACCACACAAAAAAAAGTTATAATTCTTATGTAACAGCATTGAGTACCTGCTTGCCTTTTGTATCTCACAAGATGGGAGGACCTGGGACCAAGTCAAGTTCAAGGTTATGAATTTGCTTCAGATTTCTCGGGCATCAATCAAGAAATATTCAATCAAGCAAATTTATTTTCTTGGCCGACCAAAAAGGCTGTCCACCTGTTACTATTAATGGTAACAGCGAAAAGTTGCTAGTCTGCCAATCTCACCAACTGGAAGAGCTTGTACTTGATGCCATCTGGTCTTGAGAACAGACACTTCTGGAAGCTGCTTCAATGCATTTATTACTCACCTTGACTAAGCATCACTTCCTATCTTCTAATGTCCACTCTTTACCAGAACGTATATTTTCCAAATTTAAAGCTGAGAGGTGTCTGAAGTCTGTCTCAATGCAATCAATCAAAATCGCTTTATGTCCAATTGTCCTCTCCATTACAAATCACTGTGGATATATTTGTCTCCAGTTGGGCATTACTAAACATGACGCAGTACTCTGTGGTTTTAACAATCGATGGCCATGAAATGGAGTCCTGTAGCTCAGCGGTTAGAGCACTCGTCTGGCAAGCGAGAGACCTGGGTTCGATTCCCGGCAGGGCGAAACCGTGGGCAAGTTTCCTTGTTCCACAATCCTGATAATAATCCCTCAAGAAAGAAGAATAATAAGTTGGCCATTTCAATCCACGACTGCTTGTGGGACTCTGCTGTTCGCAATTGGCTGCCGTGTTTCGCCCACAAATATACGGTCAATTCACTTTACAGTATATTCTGTGAAGACTTTTGAGACGTCGAGAAGATGTGAAAAGCGCTATATCAAATGCAAGGATTATTATTATTATTAAATAAATAAATGGACCTTTATACAGGAGTTTGGGATTCCTAAGATGCTGACTTCACAAGACCATTTCTATGTCTGTAAAATGCCTCCAAGGCCAATGAAAAAGAGAAGATTACATTTGAAAAGAAGTGCTTGGGGAAACTTTGAGAGTGGAAAAAAATGCAACATTTGACGTGATAATTACAGGTGCTGTCACATTTTTTGCCCAAACCCTGCAGCAAAGTCATCGTAGAGTAAATAAGATTAATTGGGGACAACTGTTTATTAATAAGATGTTGCAGAAGTAATGGTATTTGAACAGACATGGACAAGAAAATGAAATCTCATCCCTTATTTGATCAACAAAAATAATAATAATAATTTGTAATAGAGCCTTTCGGCTGAGGAAAATATCTCAAATTGCTTCACAGAATTTTTTCTAAGTGTAATCAATATGTAATTTGTGTAGGTGAATGTGGCAGCCAAATTCTTCACAGCAATGACCCACAAACAGCCGTGAAGTGAGTGAACAATTTTACCTGGGGGATTGTTGGCCAAGACACGAGGACAAACTGCCTTCGGGAAGCTCAATTTAGCATCTCATTTAATGAATCGGCAACGTCCGGGAAATGGAAAGGAAGGTTGAAAGTTTCCTGAAGGAAAATTGTAAAGAGGAATTAATGGGAATCGCACGCAAAGGTTATAATTCTTATGTACAGCATTGAGTACTCACTTGGCTTTTTGTATCTCACAAGATGGGAAGTTCAAGGTTATGAATTTGCATCGGATTTTTCTCCCAGAAAACAATTAGATAGCAAGCATTCATAGAAGCCTGGAAATAGGCTGCTTTGCTTCAGTCAGAATCGGGAAGGGAGGAGCTCATTTGATTAAGAAAATATTTAATTTTAAATAAGAACTACAAATATATATTTTTAAAGAAAAACTGATCAAGGGAATTTTGCTTTGCTTTGCAACTAAAACACCAGCAAAAGATTCTGACGGCGGAGATGATGTTGAGAGGCTACAGGATTATAATAAACCACTTTCGGTTTGACTGCATGACTCAGACGCTTTGCTCAGTGTCTTGAGTATTGCACGCTGTTTGATGCTGATGAGCCAGAAAGAAACAACAACAACAAATTACATTTGTAAAACGCCTTTCAAGTCCGGAGGACGTCCTGAGGCGCTGGACAGTCAGGGATTTGAACCCGAGCAGGGGGGTGGGATCAGGGAGGGAGGGAAGCCAGGGAGGGTAGGGATAGGAGGGTGGGAATGTCAGGTCTTGAGACGTGTTCTGAAGGAGGCAAAGGAGGGAGCGAGACAAAGGGACCGTGGGATGGGGTTCCAAAGGGTGGAGGTAGAGAAGCTAAAGGCCCAACCGCTGAGACGCAGTAAAGTGGCAAAAATTGGACAGGCTTCGTAGAAAACATTTGTGGAGACGTGAAATATTTTAAATCAATTGCAGTATTGAAGTCAATAGAGTGCACTCTTATCACAGACGATAAGCAAATTATATTGTGTAGTAGTATTACATAGCACCTTAAATGTGAAATGCAACCCACAGCTTTGGACACTAAGACACTCTTCCAAATCCTCTTCACCTCACCTCCTCTCCTCCAACCTTCATAACCTTTGTGGAGTGCTGTAGCTCAGTGGTTAGAGCACTCACCTCACAAGCGAGAGCACCTACTTTTGATTCCTTACTCCACATGCCTCTGTTTGCCTTGCAGTAAATAGGAACCCGGTTGTGAGTCGATTGGCGGATCGCTTTTCCGGGGGCAATAATCCCTTCAAAAAAAAACAAAAAAAAAATTTGGTTATTCAATCCATGACTGTTTGTAGGGACGCTGCTGTGTGCAATTGGCTGCCGCGTTTCGTCCACAAATATACAGTCAATTCACCTTACAGTATATCTGTGAAGCTCTTTGAGACATCACAAAGCCGTGATCAGGCGCTATGTCAAATGCAAGGATTATTATTATTATAACGTCCTAAAACCATATCCTCTTGACTTTGCTTTTGATCAAGTTCCTTACTTCTCCCTTCTCTCTCCATGCTCAGTGCTTCCTATCACACTTGTTAAGCTCTTCGAGATTTTGATTCCAAATGAAAGGCACTGTATAAGTGCAGGTCGTTGTAAGGTTGTGTACAAACACTGTTCAGTAGATGTCAGAGGAAAGAAAGTCAAATTATTCAAAATCATAAAACCAAGCTGCTACTTATATTTATTCTCCAATAAAAAAATACAGTTGAAATGTAATGTTGCACTTGACTGTTGTGCAGGGAGTCTAATCTCTCAGCATCAGTATATTTTCAATGCAGCCATGATTGCACATGTCAAATCCTTGCTGTTTCATCAAAGTTCCAAGCACTAACTACATGATTTCTATGAATCTACAGTGAGTCCTGTAGCTTAGTGGTCAGAGCACTCGCCTTGTAAGCGAGTGGACCTGGGTTAGATTCCTGGCAGGGCAAAATGTTGGGTAAGTTTTGTTACTCCGTACGCCTCTGTTTACCTAAAAGGAAACATGAACCTCGTTGTTGGTCGATTGGCGAATCGTGTTTCCAGGGATAATAATTCCTTCAAAAAAAAATAATTTGGTCACTCAATCCACAACTGTTTGTGAGACGCTGCTGTGGCTGCTGCATTTCACCTACAAAAATACAGTACATTCTGTCAAGCGCTTTGAGACGTCTTGTGATAAGAAGAAGTGATAAAGCGTTATATCAAATTCTAGGATTATTATTATTATTATTACTTTTTCAACACTTAATACAAATTCTGTCTTTGTCCTTAACATTTAACAAAATGGCATATTGTGGATCATCATAATAATAATAATCCTTGCATTTGATATAGCGCTTTTCACGTCGGGAGAACGTCCCAAAGCGCTTCACAGAACACACTGTAAAGTGAATTGACTGTATATTTGTGGGCGAACGCGGCAGCCAATTGCGCACAACAGTGTCCCCACAAACAGTCGTGGATTGAAAATGACCAATTTATTATTGTTTTTGGAGGGATTATTATTAGGTCTGTGTGTGGAGTAAGGAAATTTGCCCAAGGTTTCGCCCTCTGCTGGAATTGAACTCAGGTCTCTCGCTTGCAAAGCGAGTGCTCTAACCACTGAGCTACAGGACTCCATGAGTCATAATATAACATGCAATAGCATTGTCGCTTTCCAATTTTACAGAGAATTTACAGGTATGGCTTTATGAAAAGTCATATGGCTAGATCTATCTGTTTTCTGTTATTGCTATTGAAGTTCTAGAAAACGCTTAGGATAATAGGGCTTTGTTTTGTTTCTCTACTTCCTCCCCATCACTTCAGTTTTCAATGAATTTTATTACAGGTTTATTAAAGTGTGTGCTTATGATGGCATTTCCCTCATGGAAACTACCACACAAACCCACAGTCAGTAACGGTTCCTTCTTTAATTGCACTACATGTGACAAGTGAAATTGAATGAGAGGGAGTGGGAGAGAGAAATGAATGAGAGAGTCATGAAGGAAGAGAGAGTGAGAGAAAAATACAGGATTAGAGAACAAGGCCGAAAGAAAGAAAGAAAGAAAAGAAAGGAGTAGAAAAAAATGCAAGGAAAGAAGGAAGGAAGGACACAAGGATGCTGAGAAAAGAGACAGATTAAGCCATATTTCCAGTTATATTCAATCATAGACCATCATTGCTAATGTATTTGGAAGAGTCTACTCTCCCCTTCCCTCCTTACAGTTCACACAAGTTCAGAGTGTGATGACAGTCGATGAGTCCTCCCAAAGATCCGATCTAACTACAGAAGATCGACTGTCGACCCCCAACAGAAATTGGAGCATTATAACAGACACTTGATTAAAACACTGAGTGTCAAAGCTGATTACTTTTCCCCAACCTCTCATTCCTAAACAGCACTTTGCCCTTTTTAAAACGTATACTTTGAATATTGTTATGGCACTCAGTCGCTTACATTATTGTCAGTTTTTCAAAAGCAACTTTCATGCAGATGTAGAAACAAATGCCAGCTTGCAATATTAACAACATGTGCTTGACAGCAAATAATTACGTGACGACATTTATATAAATATTTACACACATTCAAATAGTTGTTGAAAAAATTAAAAAGCTTTTAAATATTAACACATTCTGGCGACGGATTTGGAACGAACATTGACTCGATATTCCTCGATATACGAAATCAAGTTATGACTTTATTGTTTGCTAATTGCCTCTGACGGCTGTGTAGAGCGAACATACTCCAATACACACAGCAGCCAGTTCAAAAAACTGGCTACACCATATTTTGTAATTTTACTTTTGGACCTAACACTAGGTTTAATCACAAACGACATCTTATTACAAGATGCCTAAAGGCGATGGATAAAAAAACAAGCCGAGAATGCAAGAGGAGAGAAAACCTTACCATTAAACTGATTCGTCCTTTAAAGTGAGCACAGTCTAAGGCACAGAGAATTGTTCACCTTTTCATTATGGATGATTGTTTCCTTCCCTGCTTACCCTAACGGGAGAGCAACTGGCAGCAAAGCAAACTGATGTATTGTACGCAACTTGAAAGTGTCACAAAGTACAATATTTTTTACGGAGAAGACAATTATGCACAAAGCCCATTGATGACCAATTTGACTCCCTTTACTTAAGCTGGATTGAGCATGCCATAGACCCATAATTGGTAATGATTATCTTGGCTGTAGGAAGGTATATATATGTGGGGTATAGGAGGGTGGGGTGGAAGCTTATAATTCATGTGGAGTAATTTACACAGGGCACAGACTAGTTGAGCCAAATGGCCTGTTTGTTCAATGTAATTCAACGGAAAACATATTCCATTTTATGTTGAGCTATATGCATAATGACTGCAGATGTAGGAATTTGCAAGGCCTATAGGAATTCGATCCAAACTGGAACACACTTGCTCTTCTGCCTGGTAGAATTTGAACAGTTCTCTGGGGAATGTTGGACAATATATTTGTGCTGTAACCAAATGTTGATTTCCATCTGATGCCGTTTGTTTAATCGTTATAATTCTGAACCTCTTTAAAATTCCATCAAATGGCAAATATATTCTTGTCACCATCCAGCTTTTCCAAGTCACACGTATGTAGAGTGTTCTTTTCAGAATTTTTCTACCATCTATTATTTACACGAATACAGGCTCCTCAAAGGGTAACTAAAAACGGTCTGATATACCCTACAACCTTGACTGAACATCCGTTACAATGAAACATTAAACCAAGGTCCTATCTGCCCTACCCGTGGACTTTAAAGATCCCATGGCACTAATCAAAAAGAGAAGGGAGTTCCTCTTACAACAAAAACAGAGAGAGCTGGGAAAACTCAGCAGGTCAGGCAGCATCTATAGAGAAAGGAAAGTGAGTCAACCTTTCGGGTCCGTGACCTTTCGTCAGAACTGGGACACGTTGGGAGGGAGGCAATGAGTCAAACATGAATAAAACACAAAATGCTGCAGCTGCTGGAAATCTGAAACAAAAACAGAGAGAGTTGGGAAAACATGACTCACTTTCTTTTCTCCATAGATGCTGCCTGACTTGCTGAGTCTTCCCAGCTCTCTCTGTTTTTGTTTCAGATTTCCAGCAGCTGCAGTATTTTGTGTTTTGTTGAGCGAGTTTCTCTTGGTGTCCTGGCTACCACATGGCTGTTTGTGGACATTGATGTGTGCGCATTGGCTGCTGTGTTTCGCCCACAAAATACACAGGCAATCTACTTTACCACTAATCTTGTGAAGTGCTTTGAGATGTCTTGACGACATGATAAGGTGCTATGTCAAATGCCAGGATATACTGTATATTATTATTATCATGAAAAACTGTTAAGCGCTTTGAGACGGCTCACCTCATTCAAAACATGTGCTATCACAGGGCTATATGAAGCAATATTAAAGAATATTAGTACCGGGGCCAGTCGGTGTATCAGTCCAGTCAGGCTAGGTCCTTATGCAATATTCACGGAGCAATATGCAAAGCAGTCTTGAATGATAATAAGGAGTTCTGTAGCTTAGTGGTTAGAGGACTCGTCTCACAAGTGAGAGGACCTGGGTTCAATTCCCTGGCAGGACGAAACTTTGGGAGAGTTTCCTCACTCCACACACCTCTGTTTACCTAACAGGAAATAGGATCCTGGTTGTTAGTTGATTGTCGGATCAATTTACTGGGGGTAATAATCACTTCAAAAAATAAATAAGAATAATTTGGTCATTCAATCCTTGACTATTTGTGGGCCACTGCTGTGCGCAATTGGCTGTCGTGTTTCGCCCCAAAATATATACAGTCAATTCGCTTTACAGTATATTCTGTGAAGCGCTTTGAGACATCTTAAAGACGTGGTAAGGCGGTATATCAAAGGCAAGGATTATTATTATTTATTATAATAGCACAGAAGAGACACAGCCTTGAAAATGTTCTGGATATCCTGGCTTTTATACCCAAATTTAATAAAATCTCTTGGGGTTGATAAGTGAATGCCTTAGTCAGCATTAAGAGCCTCAGTGACATTGCTTATAGGGATTTTAAAAAAATCATTACTATAATCGATAAGAAAATGCACTGTTAAAATTCATGATGGTTTTTTATCTTTTTGATCATTAAAAATGTCATGACTTTTCAGCATTATCCAAGTGAATTTTTTTAAAATAGAAAACAGATGCTGTTAGGGTGCCAGACTGTACTGATAAAAGTTGCAAGTGGAAAGAAAATGACTCTAAAACACCTCTTTTAACAGTACCATGTAAAATCAATTGAAGGTTAATTTTGCTTTCATCGATAGCATTGTTCCCTACATCAAAAGAGCGAATAGAAGCACTTTCAAGTGCTTAATCAAATACTAATCACATTCACTGACCTGCATTCATCTTTCCTATGAATGCTATTATAAAAAGGAAAGTGATCCTTCCTTTTTTATAATGGCCAACTTTTCAATAAATTTCTATTAAGAAACGCTTTACCTGCTATTAGCTCCACAACTTATGGTAAAAGATCCAAATGGTATCAAATAGTGCAAGATAAAAAGGTGTAACTTTTTATTTAAAATTCTCCTGCAGAAAAATGTAATGATATTGTAGTAAAAACAATTTCCGATCGTTTTCTTAGGGTCAAACTCTTTTTCAAACGTTATCTTTAAAATTACAATATAATAATAATCATCATCCTTAGATTTTGTATTGTGCTTTATTGCATCGTTGAAACATCTCAAAGTGCTTCACAGCATCTTTTATTGTGAAGTGCAGTGACTGTATTTTATAGGTGAACTCAGAAACCAATTTGCAATATTACAAAAACAGCCATGGAAGTGATTGATCAGTTTTTTTTCCCTGGAGGATTGTTGGCCAATATATCCCTTCTCTTTCTCCCAGAAAATCGCCACCCGTTTCGACTAGTGTCATGGTATCTTTAACGTCCACCTGAACAGGCAGACGGGACCTTGACTTAACGTTTTATCCGAAGGAAGG